CGGCGGCAGCCCTTAAATAATCCGGTTGTCTTTAGCGACGCTGGAGGAGGAAGATTGAAGATTGCTTTTCCACAGGGCGTCTAGCAAGTGCTGAAAAACGGTACTCTCAGCTGCCGTGGGTTCCCCACACGCAACCTGTCGGAAAATCTCGAGCCCGGAAATCTTACAGCCCATACAGTGGACTAATGATGCAGGTTCAGATGGGTGTAATTCAGCAGGGTCCCCCAACGGAGCAACCTTGCCATAATTCACTCACAACTGTGCCCAGACCTCGAAATCCGTGCAACTCAAGGACACAGCATCCTGTGGTCTAATTCCGAAAGTTGGCAACTCCAAGCCCTACACCCTAAAGGGCCTCGCATGAAGGCCGCAAACGAACCTGGTGGAGTGAAGCACTGTCAGGATCAGAGCATGACTTGAAAACATGCTCCAGTGGGGCTGAGGGAGTCTCTACTAACTAGTAAGGTGGGAGGTGTAGAATTTGATGTTGAATAAGACCTGCGCACTTGCGGCTTAAGTCTTTACGGACCCAACATCAAATTAGATTCCTTCGCCGAGGCAGCAACATGAAGAACTTGCCACTTCGTGAGTTTTGTGCTTTGTTGATGCGAGCCTTGCTTTTGAATGGAGAACCTACACTACACCAAATCATGACGGTTTGCGGCTGAAAGTGTTGCATGGCTTTCGCGCACACACACACACACAAGCGCACCCTTGTAGCCTGCTCAGCATAGTCAACACCATGCACCAGCTTCCATTGCCAAACACTTCGATTCCACGAACCGGAAGAAGCTTTCGTAAAAACGTGGGCACATGCCCTAAACGACTATATCTCCTAAACGTGTGGCATGGTTTTGGAAACTCCCAAGCCCTGAGCCTGGAAGTAGGGGCCCTGAACGTAGGCCACCAGTCGGCAACGAAGCTTGCCCTTCCGCATGCTGGTGCTTTAGGTAGGGAATATAGATACTCATATGACAGAGCATGTGGGGATTATATCAAGATCATTGTATTGTAGGCTGCAATCCGCCCCCTCCCTGAAGCACCAGTAAATATGGTTGCAGGATGCTGCTTGCGGTGCAGATGTTTGGGGATCTAGGGCTTCTTGTTGTGGGCACGGGGGAGCCGCGCCACAGCGGCATTCTTTGTTCCAGAAATATTGCCCCCACGCTCTACCTCGTGTAGCAATGAAAGGGCTGTGATGCAAATGTTTTGGTTCTCTACCTTTCGGAGCTCATTTCTATCATACGGGCTGTTCCCAAGGATTGGCTCATCCAGGTAGTTCTTTACAGGTTGCAACCTGGCTTGCGTGGAACCAGAAGCGGTGATCTCAACTCTGTATGCGCTTACATAACTTCACTGCACCTCGCTGTTCTACATTAGGGGTTTTGGGTCTTTTCGTGCTGCACAACATTGGGCAGGCACAAGGTCGATCTGCGTCCTGCCTGATGTACCCAAAGGGACTCCAAGGGGTACAGGGCGTTGCTCGCCTTGAAGGGCAGTAGCAGCACTAAGTTGTAATGAAACCCCCAGGGATGTGATCCCCGACAGTAATGGATAGTCCAAGAGGAAGCCTCAAATCCTGAAAGACTACTTTCGAAAGGCAAGACTGCTGTTGAAGGGGAACAGTTGAGGATGAAACATCTAGGGGTCGATATTCGGGACTATTGAATTGGACTTTAATAGCAGCTATCGGTTTATGAGGTGACCGTGGAGCCGAGGTAGATAGAATGAATCCCCCGCAATAATAAATACAAACGTTTTAAGTTTTAGGGTGGAACGCTTATCTTCTGGAGGAAGCGTTAAATCATGATGTAAGCCAAGCTACGTGATTATGAGTCAGGCCGGCAACGAGCCCCTGCGGCTCAAAAGCAAAGAATAATTCTTGCGGCAGCGGTATGTAAGAACTACGTAACTACGCAAGCTGTCTCCCTAAAGAGTCTACTGCTTGCCCCAGGCATAAGTGTCACGGTTGTTCTTCCTGCTTGGACCTTTCGCAGGAAGAAGGCCTCAGAGTCCCAAAAAGCTCAACATGAACCCCCAACATCCGAAGATGTGAAGCTGCGCGACTTTGGAGTTCTGGGAGGGAGCAATCTGTATGTACGTATCTTTATGGATGCTTGATGCCAAGGGAATGATTGCACATCCGTCTAGAAGCATGCAAGAAGTACCTTGCCTAGCCATAGCCCTATGTGTGCTCTATCCAGAACAACGAACGTGCAGGTTTGAACAGCTGATCCGTCGTTACGCGCTGGCAGGATGGACCACATTCTCTAAGGGATGATTTCCAGAAATGGTTCGCAGTATGGGTCAGAGAATGTGGGGCGCTACTTTAACACAGGGGCACAGCTCAGGCATCACCCGCCCCGCGTGTGGACTTTAGGTATGACGAAGCATGCGAGTGAGGAGTGACTTCTTCCAGGGTGTTCTCCGGATATATGGCTGTTTATTAAAGCGAGCGGTGCATAAATCTATTGGGGGGCCCCTTACAATCCTTGAAAATCCTTTCCTGCTAACTACGGCCCTCCCAATGCTACTTGTGGAGCACTGTTTCAAAGACAGTTCTTCATATATCCTGGGGGCACCTAAGGGTCAA